TGTGAAGGACCATATATGTGAAAGTTTCAGTATTAACTAATCCTAAATAAGTGTTATGTTCCCAGCAGTATGTCCTGAGCAGCACTTGACAGAGTCCACATTAAGGAAGTTTCTCTGTATGATGAAAGTTACATGCCTATTTCACAGCTTTGTTTAGTCTTTATCATATTAATTTGATATAGGTAAGTACCGTATATTACCGTCTATAAGCCGAATTTTGAGGATGAAAAAAAGCAGTCTGTAGAAGGGGGTCAGCTTATCTATGGGTTACGTTTTCATCGAACTTTTTTCCAGGGGTAAGAAAACAACATCGTATCACTTCGCGTGAACAAACAACAGAAGACAACTTTGTCAGTAAAGACATCAAATTTGCAATTAAACATCACTAGACAAGATTATTTACCTTTTAAGTTCTAAGTTGTTTTTGCTGGGTATTGTATTATTTGCAGGGATTAAGATTACCGTGTGTATTTGAGCTGGAAATAGCAATCAGCTGTGCACATGTTTCCTGGTTATCAAGTTCAAACATGCACAATAATATAACGGGATGATTTCTGACGCAGTCATCAGTAAAATTATTTAACCCAAAGAAATATATCCTAGCATTGTGTAATTTTAATTACAGTTTTTGCTCTATTAATGTAAAATATATATAATCAACACTAAGGTGAACGTGGTAAGCGGAAGTTGTACGCACATGGAATGGGGTAAAATAAGCAAGCCATTTAAATTCACGCATTTTTACCGATGTTACTGTAAACTAGCAGTCCATGGAAAACGAAGCGGTAATCAGTATGTGATTGTTGAATGGGGTAAAATAAGGAAGCCAGTTTGTTGACATGTGATCTTCGAATTACAATAAGCATGATATTTAGTGAAACAAAATATATTATCCATTTTCTGTCAACTACACTTCATTACGATTAGTGAATTGTTTGAATAATGTGAACCAAAGTTATAATTATTGGTAACTGACAGTTGTCTGTGGTCTGTGTTTGCTGCAATTAGGACCCCATCGCGGGGGGGTCGGCTTATGCCTGAAACATACCATTTTGACACTGATTTTAAGGGTCAAGTTTGGGGGTCGGCTTATCTATGGGGTCGGCTTATAGACGGTAATATACGGTATATATATTATAAGTTGTATGCTTCTCTCGAGGGTAATACGGTCTGATGTGCCCCTCTTTGTAGCAGTGTCACCCGAGCCGTATATATATTATGCATACAATCACCATATACTTTTCTTGGTGAAGTTTGATCTTTTTACCCTGGTATCTACATCTTTGGTTTACAATTTTTTATTCTTATTTGCATTCTGTATTGTAGCCTTAAACTGTAACTATTTCAGGTGAGCATCAAAACCTCGTAAAGGAGTAACACATGTATTGGCCATGGTGTTGCTTACGTTTATGGCTCCTAATTGTATCTTCTTGCTGAACCCTTTGTTATACTACTGAGTCTTCATTTCATAATCACATACAGTCCTTGTGAAAAGGTTAAACATAATTGCTGAATGTATTTTTCATGTGTATTTTAAGCATTTACAGCCATGACAGCCATAATAATAAAGCAGAGACCATATAATAGAGGGCTCTATTATATGGTCTCTGAATAAAGTGACATGTATCTTTACATCACTATTGTATAATAATCACGAACCAATCATACTATTTATTGTATTTTTTAGTTGTTCCTTACATTTGGGAAACTTCCAAGCAAACTCTCCTCTCGGGAGTGCTTGGTGATACACCAATGATGTCTTTTTAGTGTCTTACATAAAATCTCTCACCCTGTCTCTACAGTTTTATTTAATTGTACAATGGGTGTGTTTCTTCACAGATTTCATCCTTTATGATAGAAACCCCAGTGGTGATTCTAGTAGATTCTAGTATTGTTAAATAGAGACTATGACGACAAGTTTATGGATAACTTCTTATATTTTGTGAGTGCAATGTTTCAATTCAGATTCTTGTTCCATTGTCAAGCTGCCATTCCTGCTAGATAACAGTACAACAATCTCTATCAAAATGTCCCACTCACTCCTTATATTTGTCAGTATTATACGTTCCAACTAAAATGCCACGCAAAGAAGGACAAGGATGACATACATGCATCATCCATGCAGGATTTTGATATGTAAAATTGTACAATAATTAAACTGTTTCTTGTTGTGGCCTTACGATGATAGTGCTTTGTTTTCAATTATATTCTTTGGGAGCTGCAATGTTTCATAATTTAAATGTTTATATATTATGCTGATAGTGACATTCTACATATAAGATATAATTTCTAATCTTGACAAATGAGATCATCTAAAATTATATGAATTAAGTAAAATAAACTACATTGAGAGAAGTGAGTATTGGCTTACATTCCCAGCACAAGGTGTGTAGAAATCAACCTACCTCAGCCAGTAGTCCCTGCCCCAGTACTAACCAACCCTGAGCATGGATCATTTGGGATAAATCCATTGACTGAGTTGCCGTCTACGATATGTGTTCTAATCAGCCATGTTTAAGCTGCTAAGCTGTCTACAAACATATCACACTGGCTCTATGATACTGTAGCCTGTACCCAAATTACAGAGTATTGCAGAACCAAATGTACTGAGCACTTACAGATATTTAGCATTATTTTATTTGTTTTGTTTAACTATTGTATGTATCTGTGCATATGGATTTCACTGTTTACTTAAGCAGTTTATGCAGTTTGTACATTAATACAGACCAATAAAGAATATTTTTTGTAGTTACAAAATGTAACTTTGAAAGGGGTGAAGTAAGATGTAATTGTAATTTCCTTAACAGAACTATTTACAAAGCAGCATTTGAAGGGTCTTCATCTCATTCCCTCATAATTCATCCTCTAGATTTCTGGTTAACATACACTAACCCTTGGATCCATTCCCGTGATTCTGAGGATCACAAATTAACAATTTAATGATGAATCAATTGCAGTATAAGGGATGGTGTGAAGAAGGAAGCTTGTGTGTCCAAGAAATCAAAGTCATTTCCAATTTTAACAGATATAAAAACATCCTTGCCATCAAAAATATTTATTTATTTGGTGCATCAGTCAGTTTATCAAAGTTGAATTCCTCCCAAATTTGAATCTAGCCAACATGATATGGCTGAACCAACATTGAGGCTGGTTTGTAACTCATGTTATGATTTGTATCGATACATAAACCAGGTACTAGCGCAGCCAATCAAATTGGCAAACGGAAATCAAGTGCAGGTAATTTGAAATTGATTGCAAGGATCCAGGGGTTTATGTAGGTTTACCGAACTGCTGTCCTGGCGATGTAGAGGATGATGCTGCTCTTGATAACATGGACGTTAGGGTAGTGATGTGGTTACAGCACTAGCTCATCTCACTGAGGACCTGGTTCAATAACCTATGTGGTGAAAATGTGTGATTCACTGCTTTCCCTCCCACAATGTTGCTGGACAATTGCTGAAAGTGGTGTAAAACTCACTCATTTCAATTGCTATTTCAGGTCTTGTAATATCTTGCTATCGGTTTTTAAGAAATGTACCACTTATCTAAGGCAAATGCACTTCAAATGCTGTGTGGAGTTGTGTCCCTTTGGTGTTCCAGAATCCTGTTTTCCCAGATTTATAATTGATTATGATTTTTCTATTGTCAACAGCATTCCCTTTCTCATGGGTTTAAAAAAGTTATAAAAACCTAGAGTAGCATTTCTTCAGGTTTCATTCCCACATGCAACATTGATCTGATTACACTTACTATTTCATTGAAGTAGTAATTTCACAAATATTTTGTATAATGCTTATGTCATTTCACACTCTAGAAAGCAGGGGAGAAAAGATAATATTCCTATTATATGATGGCCATATTCATAAAATGGTTAACATGCCTGTGCAACCTTCCAAGTAATCAAGTTTTTGTGATCCCCACTTGTATTAGTTCTGCTTTCCTAACTTTCTGACATTGAATTTAAGATTGATTGTCCTTCTTGTCCAGAGACATTTTTCTCAATTACAAGGATCCCTTCACTGCATGTCATGTAATACTGGCGTGAAGGTACAGGTATTGAAATTACCCAGTGTCTGTGAAGAGCTATTGAACTTTTTTAGATCAATGCATTCATTTTTTAAATTGAGCATTGATAGGGAATAGTTCTGAACCAAGCTGTTGTCCTCTTTCAGATATCATTTTGTGCTGACATAATGGGGCTTGTGTTGAAGGACAAGTAGTGGTACAATGACTACATAAATAATGAGAATGGCCAGGGGTGTTCTATGCGATATATAAGCTGTTTATGTCATGCAACAATATGATTATTTAACACACACCGGGTATACGAACCTTGCAATGGGAGTTATTATAAGCTGATGGCCCCGTTAGCTGGTCTCCCAATGCATGCTAAGCCCATTCTGAACACCCAGTCTTGTGACTACAGGGTAATTTAACCACTTCTAATCAAGCGATTCAAACCTTTATCACAGCTATTCAGCTAAATCAATGAAGCAACAAAGGTTCCCCCATTGCATTGAACACAAGGATAAAGATTTGCCACCCTTTGTTTCTTAGCATTTAATCTGTGTAGCAACAGTCAGCTTAATATCTTACTTTTTCCCCTTATTGATTTGATAAATGCTGGAATTCAGATTTGGTTCTTAGAGTGATTTGATGGAGTGTTGTTAAGCAGGAGTTAACTGTCTTAGCAAGTTTCGGGGTCAGTGGATCATGGTGTAAAACATAGTAGGGTCGTGGAGGATTGCCATCTCGCTGAACAAGAAGATCGGGAAACACGGAATATCACAATCAGTTGTGACAGCCGCCTCGCTTAACTGGAACGTTGATGTCAACCGTTTCTAGCTCTGTCTTGGGAATAATATTTACATAGACCTGTTTGTGCATTGAGAGGACAGATTGTTTTTATGTCAACAAGCTATTAGTTTCAGTAGTATGTTACAGTGTGGTGATAGGGTTGGATGTCATATGGAATTTATGGGATCAAATTTCTTCTAAGTTGCGAAGGATAATTGCATGTATCTTAAAGTGAATACTGACTGATGGTTTGTTAGTGCATTCTAAGTCAGCCTCAGTTGTGTGGATTTTGGAAGTGGTGTGTGGACATATTTCTCCTTGGACACCACGGGTATCACAACTTCGGAGGATAGCTGTCTATTACTTGGGCACTGAGAGCGTTTTTCTCCAGTAACGGTGACTGAAATTCCTCTTGAAGATGGCTGACTTGGATTTCCAGAACAACCCCATGTATCAGGTCATGGGAGTGCCAGTAAGTGTGGATATCTTCCTGTCAGAGATACACATTGTATTCTCTCTGTTGTTTTGTAAGGTATGCCTGTTTTAACTTAATATGTGTTGCTTCAGCGTTGCCAAGGCATTTCCTAGCCTATACGGGAGCGGTGGGGTAGCCTAGTGGTTAAAGCATCTGCTTGTCACGCTGAAGACCTGGGTTTGATTCCCCACATGGGTACAATGTGTGAAGCCCATTTCTGGTGTCCATTACTGTGATATTGCTGGAATATTGCTAAAAGCGGCGTAAAATGTAAACTAACTCATGGCATTTCCTGACCTATATACAAATGATCATAATCATGATAATTATCATGGTATTATGAAATGGCTGAAAAATTAAATCAATGTATTTCTGTTTCATGATACAAGGTGATTAAAGTAGGTAATTATAATAATAATAGAAACTGTTATATATATTGAGCAGGTAAATCTACAATATATCAACAGATGGATTATTACCTATTTTTTTCAAATGTGTGAAGGGGTTGCATTTTACTTTTATATCTTGTTCTTTTGAACATGTTGTTCAAGGCATTTTCTGCTCACTTTATCTTTCAATGGATGTGAATTTGCTCACTTTCAGTTTTTGATCTCACTACATACATGTGATATTCTGAGCTCTTCAGCAGCCCATGCTTGTTGTATGAAGTTACTAGCTTGATCAGCTGACTGACTTGGTTGATGTTCGTCATCATTTGTGTGAATTTCTTTTCTCTTTTATACAAAATTGGTGGAATCCCCACTGGATTTTTACAATGAGTGAAGCCCATTTCTGGTGTCCCTCATGATATTGCTATTTATTGCAACATATTTGCAAACTCAGTCAGTCAGTCATCATCATTTTGTGTGAATTGATGCTCATAGTGTCAACGCTTTAACGACTAGGCTACCCCACCGCCCCTCAGACTGGATTGATATAAGACAGGTGATGTGAGGAAGGTAGAGATGATAATAGTAATTTACTGTGATTATTCAATAATGAACTGCCTGTAAAGGTCTGAGTTGGAATATTGATCTTCAGTAACCCACGCTTGTCGTATGAGGCGACTAACGGGATCTGGTGGTCAGGCTCGCTGACTTGGTTGACACATGTCATCGGTTCCCAATTGAGTAGATCGATGCTCATGCTGTTGATTACTGGATTGTCTGGTCCAGACTCGATTATTTACAAGGGTGGTGGGGTAGCCTAGTGGTTAAAGCGTTGGCTCGTCGCGAAGACCGGGTTCGAATCCCCACATGGGTACAATGTGTGAAGCCCATTTCTGGTGTCCCTCGCCGTGATGTTGCCAGAATATTGCTAAAAGTGGCGTAAAACCAAACTCAGTCAGTCAGTCGATTATTTACAGACCGCCGCCATATAGCTGGAATATTGCTGAGTGCGGCGTAAAACTAAACTCACTCACTCACTAATGAACTGAGTCATCATTACAATATCGAAATTCTGTAAATTATATTTCTTTTCAACAAATTTGAATAACTATTATGATGACAGCTATTATTCAAAACAAGTTCCCCCTGATTTACAATCTGAATTGAGATAGCAGTATTTGTACATATATATTTAAGTACCTGATTGCACAAGTCTATCTGTCAGGGATTACGAGACTAGATCTAGTAAGCTTATGATATTTATGGCTGACAGTGAGACTCAGTCAAGTTGTGTTTTATTGTTTAGGCACAGTTTTATTGCCATCCAGTGTTTATGGTTGTCTTATCTGGGTTTGGAAGCCTGGAATGTACTTAAATCCCCTGAGACTATCAGAGAGGCCCAGAAAACAAATGCGTCTGGAATATATTTATAAAAATAGCTTGCATTATGAAAAAGACATCGATTGCTATCAAGTTGTACTGTTAGTATAGGACAAGTCTTGTACTGTCAGTATAAGATGAGTGATTTTTTATGAAATCATTTCCATTATATTTATAGTCCGTTTGGCTCAAAAGCGGACCGATGAATTGCAATCTAACTCGAAAACTTATAAACATAAAATACTCCATGAAAAACTGATCATAATGAAAACGTCAGACCTTTCTCTGCACTCCTCCCTCGTAACAAATAGTGAACTGTGTCAATATTTTAATGATAGTTTGTTAAACAACTTTTTTAGTTTTAGGACATAAATTCTGCAAACAAATCACAGAGTTGGTCTGATATTTTGATTATGATCAGCGTTTTATTGAGTATCATATGTTTATTAGTTTTTGAGTTAGATTGCAATTCATCGGTCCGCTTTTGAGCTAAACGCACTATAAGTTGGTTTTGATTAGATATGACGTAAGGCAGAACATACCTGCATAGTAAACTTACTCAATGATATAATACTTAGGTGAGTAAAATGACTGAAATACGCACATATTTGAAAGCAGTGGGTAGCGGAAAATGAAATACCCACTCAACATTCATAATATCTACTCAAAAAAATACAGTTGGTACAGTACCCACATGAGCCAAATCTTATCTGGAGCTCTGGACTATCATAACCTGTAGGCTGGACCAGTTTTGAGATTTTGGCAATACTGACAGCAGAAATCAAACACCAAATACCTATGGTCTACGATTCACATCCTGTACACATTTGAACTGATCACTGTACACTTCACACCACAACACCACGCTCTAAAACCCCATTTCACACGATGCTATTTAACTCCCATCACCATCATATTGATGCTCATGATGTTGATCACTGGATTGTCTGGTACAGACTCGAATATATACAGACCACTGCCATATAGCTGGAATATTGCTGAGTGCTGCGTTAAACAACAAACAAACAAATAAACAAAACAAACTCCCTTCACTCGCCAACCCGCAACCTCCTCCATCCCACACTAGGGGGCGCTGGGGTAGCCTAGTGGTTAATGTGTTTCTCATCACGCTGAAGGCCCGGGTTCGATTCCCCATGTGGGTACAATATAATATGTGAAGCCCTTTTCTGGTGTCCCCTGCCATGATGTTGCTGGAATATTGCTAAAAGCAGCGTAAAACAATACTCACTCCATCCCACACTACACCACATGCCCTTAAGTCGCACCACACACCACAACTCCTGATTCCACTCTCCACATTCCATGCTTGACCCCACACCTTACATCCCATAAGCCTCTCTCCACACCCACCACTTATGCCCCACAACCACACTCAACATGCTCCACCCCTCAACATCCGATGTTCTACACACAGTCACACCCTACATCCTACATATCACACACCAACATAAGCCTCTCTTCACACCCACCACCTATGTCCATCACTACACATGCTCCACCCCTCAACATCCGATGTTCTACACACAGTCACACCCTACATCCTACATATCACACACCAACGTACGACAGATTTAACATTCTACACTCCAGAACCCACCTTCCAAACCCCCAAACCCAGACCCAACACTGCTCTACGTACCCACATACCTGCCCCCTTTAGTCGACACTTCACCCAACAACAAATGACCATCTACTGGAAGTGATAATGCAACTGTCCACACAGCCATGAAATGAAACTACAAATTGTATAAAGCTCGAAAGTTAAACATCTCTCTATTTTCACATAACTCTTGCTTCCAAATATGACTTGAGAATATCAACATATGAGATTCAGTTCTCATTTTGTTAGAAGTCTGTAATACCATGGATATCAAATATAAGTAGGTACAAGAATTGTTATTATGATTATTATTATTATCATTAAGAACACTTTCACTCAAGATGGACATACATACTCGTATCGTGATGCAAGTGAAAGGTAGGGTACAAACTAATGCCATGCAATTGTCATTAAGTAAACCATTGTGGATTTGTCCCTTTGTAAATAGAAACAAATGCGTTTTGTCATAATGTAATACTGGAAATAATTCCTTTGATATGCTACATCATAGTGCCATATTTAGTAAACAGTGCCTACTTCTTTCCATGTGAATACATGAGCAACTCATTTACTACAATATAACTCATATAGAAGATATATCCTTCATTTCATGCAAGTTCATGCATATTCTGTCTTATGTGGCCCCTGTACTGCCTCTCAAAGACATTGGTTTAGGGTCCGTCATCATCAATTGTTTATTCTGTCTTATGTGGCCCCTGTACTGCCTCTCAAAGACAATGGTTTAGGGTCGGTCATCATCAATTGTTTATTCTGTCCGTACTGCATCATCAATTGTTTAGGGTTCATCATCAATTGTTTATTCTGTCTTATGTGGCCCCTGTACTGCCTCTCAAAGACATTGGTTTAGGGTCCGTCATCATCAATTGTTTATTCTGTCTTATGTGGCCCCTGTACTGCCTCTCAAAGACATTGGTTTAGGGTCCGTCATCATCAATTGTTTATTCTGTCTTATGTGGCCCTGTACTGCCTCTCAAAGACATTGGTTTAGGGTACGTCATCATCAATTGTTTATTCTGTCTTATGTGGCCCTGTACTGCCTCTCAAAGACATTGGTTTAGATCCGTCATCATCAATTGTTTATTCTGTCTTATGTGGCCCTATACTGCCTCTCAAAGACATTGGTTTAGGGTCCGTCATCATCAATTGTTTATTCTGTCTTATGTGGCCCTGTACTGCCTCTCAAAGACATTGGTTTAGGGTCACGTCATCATCAATTGTTTTTATTCTGTCTTATGTGGCCCCTGTACTGCCTCTCAAAGACATTGGTTTAGGGTCCGTCATCATCAATTGTTTATTCTGTCTTATGTGGCCCTGTACTGCCTCTCAAAGACATTGGTTTAGGGTCCGTCATCATCAATTGTTTATTCTGTCTTATGTGGCCCCTGTACTGCCTCTCAAAGACATTGGTTTAGGGTCCGTCATCATCAATTGTTTATTCTGTCTTATGTGGCCCTGTACTGCCTCTCAAAGACATTGGTTTAGGGTCCGTCATCATCAATTGTTTATTCTGTCTTATGTGGCCCCTGTACTGCCTCTCAAAGACATTGGTTTAGGGTCCGTCATCATCAATTGTTTATTCTGTCTTATGTGGCCCCTGTACTGCCTCTCAAAGACATTGGTTTAGGGTCCGTCATCATCAATTGTTTATTCTGTCTTATGTGGCACCTGTACTGCCTCTCAAAGACATTGGTTTAGGGTACGTCATCATCAATTGTTTATTCTGTCTTATGTGGCACCTGTACTGCCTCTCAAAGACATTGGTTTAGGGTACGTCATCATCAATTGTTTATTCTGTCTTATGTGGCACCTGTACTGCCTCTCAAAGACATTGGTTTAGGAGTCCGTCATCATCAATTGTTTATTCTGTCTTATGTGGCCCCTGTACTGCCTCTCAAAGACATTGGTTTAGGGTCCGTCATCATCAATTGTTTATTCTGTCTTATGTGGCACCTGTACTGCCTCTCAAAGACATTGGTTTAGGGTACGTCATCATCAATTGTTTATTCTGTCTTATGTGGCCCTGTACTGCCTCTCAAAGACATTGGTTTAGGGTCCGTCATCATCAATTGTTTATTCTGTCTTATGTGGCACCTGTACTGCCCTCTCAAAGACATTGGTTTAGGGTCCGTCATCATCAATTGTTTATTCTGTCTTATGTGGCACCTGTACTGCCTCTCAAAGACATTGGTTTAGAATGCGTCATCATCAATTGTTTATTCTGTCTTATGTGGCCCCTGTACTGCCTCTCAAAGACATTGGTTTAGGGTGCGTCATCATCAATTGTTTATTCTGTCTTATGTAATGGCCCCTGTACTGCCTCTCAAAGACATTGGTTTAGGAGTCGTCATCATCAATTGTTTATTCTGTCTTATGTGGCCCCTGTACTGCCTCTCAAAGACATTGGTTTAGGGTCCCGTCATCATCAATTGTTTATTCTGTCTTATGTGGCCCCTGTGCTGCCTCTCAAAGACATTGGTTTAGGATCCGTCATCATCAATTGTTTATTCTGTCTTATGTGGCACCTGTACTGCCTCTCAAAGACATTGGTTTAGAGTAATGCGTCATCATCAATTGTTTATTCTGTCTTATGTGGCACCTGTACTGCCTCTCAAAGACATTGGTTTAGGGTACGTCATCATCAATTGTTTATTCTGTCTTATGTGGCACCTGTACTGCCTCTCAAAGACATTGGTTTAGGGTACGTCATCATCAATTGTTTATTCTGTCTTATGTGGCACCTGTACTGCCTCTCAAAGACATTGGTTTAGGGTACGTCATCATCAATTGTTTATTCTGTCTTATGTGGCACCTGTACTGCCTCTCAAAGACATTGGTTTAGGGTCCGTCATCATCAATTGTTTATTCTGTCTTATATGTGGCTGCCCTGTACTGCCTCTCAAAGACATTGGTTTAGGGTCCGTCATCATCAATTGTTTCCAGAGGTTTCCAGACTTTCAAGTATCACATGACATGAAAAGTCAGTTAAACCTATTTGCCAATGAAACTTGAGATTATATCATTACACCTGATGCTGAGTGCGGCGTACAACTAAACTCACTCACTCATTACACCTGATAATAAGCTATGTTCCACCTGACATGTATGACGACTGAAATGATTTGGCAGTAAAATCAATTGTTTATGACCAGTTATGGAAGGTGATGGAGTACCACGTCCATAGTTCCATGATTCTCTCCATGGTGTCCCTTTGTACAAGGACTAGCTTGACATTACTTGACCACAGTAGCAGCATATCTGTTGTGCAGATGGCTGAAGAGTTATGTCCCTTGGTTGTGCAAGGATCCGAGACTCATACTGATGATGGTTCTTGTTTTGTCGGGGCGGTGGGGTAGCCTAGTGGTTAAAGCGTTGGCTTCGTCACGCCAAAGACCCGGGTTCGAATCCCCACATGGGTACAATGTGTGAAACCCATTTCTGGTGTCCCTCGCCGTGATGTTGCTGGAATATTGCTAAAAGCGGCGTAAAACCAAACTCAGTCAGTCAGTCTTGTTTTGTCACAGACACCTGCGCTCTGTGCTCGTGGGTTTTTAACAAAGTTGTAATGCCAGCACTTCTTCAGACTACCTAACATGTCACACTGACAGGCAACGATGTAACTGAAATTAAACTTTTCATGTGTTTGTGAAAATTTTATTAACAGTATTACAAAAATGTAAAATAATTACCTTGACTGTTAGAATGTTTCAGTACATTCCGTTACCGAAGTCTGCATGGGGGACAATCATTTGCTGTCCATCTGTCAACAATAAATAGAAACCCATCTTGGCAAAGTTTGTTTGCTCAGCATAATCTTCAATGACAACTTTTAAATTAAAGAAGTCATATCTACTATCTGTCATGTCTTCTAAATAAACTCAATCATAACTGGTACTTTATTACGCAGCTTTTCTAATTTATTGACAGCAGGTGCTTTCATTGTCAAACTGAACCTGTTATCACCATGGCCGGCCCTGAATATTACATACTTATTAGTTCTCAGTCTCTGACACATGACATGAATTTGATACCTGTAATCACAACAGGTAACTCTCGGACTCGTCAACTCACCTGTTCAGGTGTGCTGGTGTCAGGAACCCTGATAGACTGTTCAATGTTAATGGCATGTCCTGTTACTCATTTGACATTCTGGTAAGGAATCCCAGGCTATAATCAGTATTAGTTGTAACAAATGACATATTGGGTGGGTCGCAGGTCGTGAACAAATCTCAATCAGTTTCACCTATGTGTGCTGGGGAAGGTGTTGCAATGATCCTGATAGTTATTTTTCTCACCTGTCAGTTTCTCATTCCCTTACCTGCCTGAGTGCACATGTACACACTACTATAAGGACCATTGTATACAAGTGGTTCAACACACTGAGGATTGTTGTATACAACACGTGGTTACACACACGGTGGACTGTTGTATACAAGTGTCTGTACATGCACAGCAACCTGCAAGAGGGGAAGTGACTACTGAATACATTGTTCTCAAGTTCAGGTTTGAGGTGTAGTTTGAGGCAGGACCGTTCCAGAATGTCTGAGAGTGAAGGGGAAGCAGCGGCTGTCCAAACTATTGATGTTGTGGTAGGTCAAACCTTGTGGTGAGGTGAGGTGAAATTGGGTTTAACATCGTGCTTGAGAATATTTCGCTCATATGACGACGTGCATGCATGTGTATGTGTATGTGTGGCTGCTTGTACTAGCCCAGACTGAAGCTGGTTTCATAGTGCTAGCCCACTGAGATACCATGCCGCAGTGAAGCATGAATACCCCACTCAGACACATTATACTGACTCCGAGCCGACCAGTCCTTGTTGTACCCATTAATGCCGAGCGCCAGGCAGGGACCAACAAGTACCATATTTTAACATCTTTTGGTATGACGCGGTCGGGATCGAACCCGCGACCTTCCGTTCTCGGGCGGATGCTCTAACCACAACACCACGGAGGCGGTTCAAACCTTGTACTCAGTCTCTACTCTCTGATAGCAGTAATATGTGTACTGGTAGTTTTATTGCCCTTGCCTCAATACATAAGGTGCATTATCATAGTGCTAACATTATTACCCAAGTCAGTGGATCAGTGAGGTTTCATTCTCAGCTCCCTGGGGAGCATACAACCCAGCTGCTGAGTCGGCTGTTAACCAGTCACATGACCATCTCAACCTTCCTAGTCCCCATGTACTGTATGTGCCTCAGTGTTTGACTTGAGATGTGTGGGTTTGTACTTGACAAATAAAACATGTATTGTTGTTGATAGTAGTTATTGTCGTTGCCTTGAAACTTAAAGGGCACTAGGGCTGGGACGATACACTATGTCACGATACGATACATATCGCAATATTTTACCTACGTCGATATTTCAAATGATATATTTCAAGGTATTTGTGTTTAACAATAACACTATTGTAATAAACAAACAAGTAACTCCATCATACTTGCGGCGTATTTGTCTCTAAATAAGTACTGTAACATGTTTAAGATAATACTGTTTTGAAAAAAGTTGTGTATCATTTTGTATTGATACACCAGTCCACGATACGATAGCTGTATCAAACTTAAATGTATCGCGATGCATCAATGCATCGGTGAATCGTCCCAGCCCTAAAGGGCACTGATCTATAACTGCCAGCCGGCAGTCTGACACTGTCACCTAGAACACTGTAGCTGCCGTGAGATGATTTGTCTGACATGACATGAGACTGGGCTGCTGTCCATAGGGCAGCAGACATTATCTTTGAGACAATGAGTATACATATCTACATAAACCAAAGGGCACATGTCAATAAATGTCTTCAACCAAAACAAGCAGACAGAATGAACAAGGGATGACCATCGGATGCCATTATTTGGAAATATTCCTCACGGTTCAAGCCTGATTTCAATCAAGTATTCCAGCAGTGCAAGCATATTCGGATTGTCAATGCCTGGAACTTGAAACTTAATCTTAATAAGTCACTGTTCAACCCTTTACATAAGGCATGGATTATGATGTATAGGTTTATTCCCATATCTGCAGGAGTACACTGGTTGTGAGATTCAGCCCAAATTTTCCAAATTTGTTTTTGACTTGTTTGCCTCATACCCATGTTCATTGCATTAAACATGTGAAAAGGAACAGGACTGCTACAGAAAGTGCTCCTGGGTCGCAATCAAGGCCATTGAGGGTCTTCAGGGACCTAATCCATCCAGCCTAAATAGAAATAGTGTCTTAAAGTATTAATACATAAAACCTGAGCCCCAAGGAACAATTTGATATTCTGGGAGGGAACCAAGGATATACAGGAATAATTTGTTTTTGAAATGGGAATGTTGCCTTAGGTAATGCCAAACAAAAATATATTCTCCTGAATGTCATAGAAAGAAATGCAATTATTTGTATTTTGTGACTCTGAGCAGTGACCAGAAATTCTATTCTGTCTTCTGAAAAGTCCCAGAGTAGAGCTCATCAGGGACTATTGGATATATCTGGATATATGTAGAGCCAACTATCGCAGTGGTCTAGGTAGGCATTTCTAATGGCTTCATCGTCATCTAATACAACTCCCTTGTTTGACAGGATGCAGTTAAGATGAACCAGCTGCAGAACCTGCTCCATGATGCCCTCATCTCCACCGACCATGTGCAGCAGTGCGCCATCGTCCGCCGCAAGGACTGCTCCGTGAGGGCTAGCTCAGTAGGCTTCAACGTAAGAATAACACACTTTCAAATTCTCAGCATGATATAAGGAATGCACGCACACTGTTCCCTGCCAGTCCATAAAATGACCCATGGTTTTAGTTTTAACTCCAAAGATGACCATGAAAATACACGTAGGTGTATTGTTCATCCTTCGTCTGGTGTAGTTCTTTGAAATCATCAATCACACCAACATCAGTGTATAAAATTCCCGCCTGCCCGACTGTCCAGAATGGTTAATTTTCATCTCGGACGGTCAAATTTCAAATTAGCCTGTCCAGTGGTCTGGTAGATATTTTTACCCCTAACGGTAAATATTTCATAAGATCAGACAGGTTCTCTTGTCGTCAGTTTGAGGTGTTTAAGGTATTATGAAAATGATGTTAAACTACTTACGATTGGACAGTTCAAGCTACGATAACCAATCACAACACATGTAATTTCAGTTTATTGTTGAAAACCGGACAGGCAAGTTTGTATCCGGACTGGTAATTTTTAAAGTTACCAGTCAGCCTGTTTGGCTTGGAATTTTGGGAGTTTTAAACACTGACCAACATACCTGTCTCTGTTGGGCATTTTATCCAATTTTTATGAATTTGCTCCCTCCATCAAGACATCAGTGTCACAGATTTGTATAAAGTATATTGTTCCTTCACCCAGTGCTGGGGGCGGTGGGGTAGCCTAGTGTGTCGGTTCGATTCCCCACATGGGCACAATGTTAAGTCCATTTCTGGTGTCCCCCGCCATGATATTGCTGGAATATTGCTAAAAGCAGCGTAAAACTAAACTCACTCACTCACTCACTCACTCACCCAGTGCTGTGGCTCCCAAAAGCCACTTTGTCTTTCATATGTTTTGTCATACTCCCTTGGACAGCATGGGTGGCCCTGACATATACTATTCACACTTTGCTAAGGGTCAAATCATGGATTCAACAGAAAACTATGATTTGGGTTCAAATTTGGTTTAAATATCTAAGTTTATTGTAAGCATGGATCCCAGGTTTCAGTACATACTAGTATGTCGTTTCATCTTGTGGATCCCATACCTGCTATTGACAGGTGTTGTGTATTTGTCCATGACTCGTTCCATGATTTGCAAAATGGTTGACTGGTGCCATGAAAACCATTTTTATGGTTTCTCATGTATCAAGTACTTTAGTTAGATTAAAGTGACTACATTGTATTTGCCTAAAGAGGGGTTACCATTTTATTATTTATCCAGTTTTAAATGAATACAATTTCAAATTATGAATCTACATTTAAGTAAAGTTGTGAATCTTTGTGATCCTTAGCAAAGTGTGAGTTGTATAGTTTGATGTGCAGAGTTGTCTCCCTTAAATGCGTCCAAAACCATGAGTTCAAATCCCAGATTTGCTCTGATCTTAGGTTTCTCAGTATCATGTCTGTGCTCGCTAGTCTCACCAAAGGGTAAATGACAAAGCCTTTCATCACCTCTGAGTCTTTTCTCTTTCATCAACCCTCAGTAAAAAAACTAAACTACTGTTCACAAAGTGGTGTTGAACCATACCCTCCCTCCTGGAGGATATCGTTGATGCTAATCCTCTACTCTCCCCCTCAGCTGTACCCCGACCAGGTGCAGATGCTGCTAGACGCCTTCAAGAATCCCCCCCAGACTCGTGAGGAGGGCATCTACTTTGATGACAAGCAGTACAAGTGTGTGCGGGCTGACAAGAACTCAATATATGCTAAATGTGTGAGTAACATCCGATACATTCCTGTATTTTGTCCATCGAGTATACAGTATATGTAAGGGGATTTTATGTTTTTAAAATGACTGAATAGCTGTCAGTTTCAAAAATTTTGTGTCTGGCATCATATTTTTGGTATTCTTAAGAGTTACTCTTAGTTATATCTACATGATTCATCATTTAGTTGTATTTTATGCCCTAATGTACAGAAAATAATTACTTTCACTTAATGTGTTTTTTTAAATGAGGGGCAGTAGAGTAGCCTAGTAGTTAAAGCAATTGCTCATCACGCCAAAGGCCCGGGTTCGATTCCCCACATGGGTACAATGTGTGAAGCCCATTTCTGGTGTCCACCGCCGTGATATTGCTGGAATATTGCTAAAAGCGTCATAAGACCATATTCACTCACTCGCTTTTTTACATGACCTTCCCCATGTCCTTATTCATGGTTTTAAGACCCTTCCTGTTGGTTTCTACATTAACTTTTACGTGTTAGAAGTAATATTCTGTAGAGATAGTCAATGGTTGTTTCACATCTTGCAGTTTTGTTAATTTTCACCTTGCCTTACCTCCCCTGTTGTTCTATGATCCTGGCTTACCTCCCTTGTCTGTCCTCAGCACAAGAAAGGGTTGATCCTGGTGAAGACTGTCTCTCTCCTGCTCGTGGCCACATACACGGACAACATGTTCGCCAGCGTCTGTGTAGAAGCCTGTGGAGAAACTAGGTAAAAGTCATATTGAACTAACTTTTTGGACCCATCAAGATCCGGGATAGAATTGGTCTTTGGCAACCCATGCTTGTCGTAAGTGGCGACTAACGGGATCGGGTGGTCAGACTCGCTGACTTGGTTGACACATGTCATCGTATCCTAATTGCATAGATCGATACTCATGCTGTTGATCCCTGGATTGTCTGGTCCAGACTTGATTATTTACAGACCGCCACCATATAGCTGGAATATTGCTGAGTGCGGTGTTAAACAACAAACCAACCTCAAGCCCAGTACAGATTCTGGTATGGAATAGGTCCTCAGTATCACGACTGAAATCAGGATCAGATGGTTATAAGGTGATCTTCACACCATTATAATGTCAATCCGTCACAAAATTCTTTTTCACTGTTTAACAACTGTTCCCTAACACAATTACTAGTTGTCTTACAGTTAGGATCACAGTGTGTATCACTTTGTTGTTAATGCTGTCAACCTCTGGTTAGCCTGTTTCAGAAATCTCACAGGTACTCCTGACATTACCTCAAATCATCAAACAAATCTTAACCAAAATTTGAAAAATGTTTCAAAATGTGTCATTAAGGGGTGATTTTTTTGAGCTTCAGAACACACCTGGGTTAGGTCTTCTCATATTTTATGTGTTATTATTTTATATTTATATTTGAAACGAGGACCTAATTTAAAACCTCACATTGTAACATTGCCATTGGTTTTCATTTGCAGCTGAATACTTCAAGGAAAAGGGAAAATGAGAGAGGTTCACTGTGTGATTGCTGTTGTTGGTAATGCTTTGAGAATGTGACCGAGAGACTGTGATCCTGAGTGAAGTGTGTGTGACAGTCTCCAGCGTCAATGATGGTGCCCAGGAGCTGTGACATCAATATCCTGATGAGGACAGCTGATGCTTCTAAATACCATTCTTGGATTACTTGGATTTCACTGATTTGGCAAACTCCATGTGGCTAAAGTCTGGTACTGGTCACAGTACCCCTCCCACATCTGTACATTCTGTGACTTCATCCCACAGACTGGACTGGAATCATACATCCCTCTTTTTAAACAGATTTTTTTCTTCCAAATGTTCTGTTCTCACTCGAGGGGCCGTGGGGTAGCCTAGTGGTTAAAGCGTTGGCTCGTCACGCCGAAGACCCGGGTTCGAATCCCCACATGGGTACATTGTGTGAAGCCCATTTCTGGTGTCCCCCGCCGTGATTTTGCTGGAATATATTGCTAAAATCGACGTAAAACCAAACTCAGTCGGTCAGTGTTCTCACTCAACCCGTGAAGGTCTGGGTTAGAATGAACCTTCAGTAACCCATGCTTGTCGTAAAAGGCGACTAGCAGGATCGGGTGGTCAGACTCACTGACTTGGTTGACACATGTCATCCCAGTTGCGTAGATCGAAGCTCATGCTGTTGATCACTGGATTGTCTGGTCCAGACTCGATTGTTTACAAACCGCCGCCATATAGCTGAATATTGCTGAATGCGCGTAAAACTAAACTCACTCACTCACTGTTCTCACTCAGTGTCCTCCAAATAGTTTTTAATACCCAGGAGAACTGGGTAGGTGGCTTTGTACCCAGATGGTCTGGGGGGTTGCTCATGATTTCGACCACTTGTTTGTCTGGTCAATCTTTTACATGAAGCAGTGAAATAGCTGGAATATATCTGATTGTTGATTACAATAGAACAAAGATAGAGATTTTGTGGCATTGTTACATGGATTACAGTTGTTACATAATTGCACCCTATGGTTCACAATTTATTTTACACTGGATGTTTGCTTTCTCCGTCCATTAAGACTGTGATATGACTTACTTGTATAAACGTATCGATGAGATCTGTTTGGATTGAGAGTATGCCTATTTTCAATATTTGTTATACATTTATACACTTTCATGGTAACATCTTTAGATAGAGTTTCATAGAACAAATTGTTGTGAAAAACCTGTAAATTTTGCAGATTGAACTAAACAATGATTTGAACGTATGCTTATTTCAAGTGCACGTTACAATCTGTTTATGTTATGTTTGTGTTCTTGCATATAATGTCCACCAACTGATGAAATAGACTTCTCTCCTATCTGTCAATCGTGGTGGTCCGAAAACAGTTACCTCCCTTTGACCAGGAATTCTGTTCACCCACGCTTGCATTTTGTCAATTTACAGGTGGACACATGTACCATTCCCAACATTTTAGTTATACAATGAATATTTTGTGTAAAATAAATTTATTATTAAGAAATTTTAATCTATTATGTTAAAAAATAATATTGTGAATATTTGTTTTTATTTACATCAAGGCACCATTTGGTGCAAATTGGATTTCAGAATGTTTGTGTCTTCTTTTAGGATTAGACCTATGCTCTTTTTACAGACAAATGCTGCTCAAACATGGAAGCATGTTTGTGAATTTTGTCTATAAATAGAAGAACTTGAGGTTGTACAAATGTATTAGATGTCCTCCCTTTTTCAGCAAATAACAAAATCACTGGGCATCATTGACCTAACTATATTTTCAATCATCTTGGATGCTTCCAAGTTGCGATTCCTTGATCTCTGGTCTTCTTGTCATGTTTTAGAACAAGTTGACATCAATTCTTCAGTCCAGTTCTGTCAACATTCCAACTTTTCACCAGAATCCATGTTGATGACAAACAGAAAACATAAAACACCTCTTGATTTGAGTAATTTTATTTCTTATATAATGACTGAATGTTACAAAGCTGTGCTTATGGACATCCAAGATATCAGTGTATATGGCGATTTGGTGTAGTCAGGTTATCAGACTACTAGTAGTATTATGTACCAAACAATAAATGCACATATAACAAAGCTATAGTAGGTACAGCATCTGACCATCCTGCTTCATCCAACATCATCCAACACATGGAATTTTCATAAAGACAGGAAACATCATGCTGATAAACGATTTGCGAAAGTCCAAGAGCAATGACCGAAGGCCAGGATCAGACAAATTCGTTCTGGTATCACAAACTTTGCTGAACAAGCAAAATAGTCAGAGATCAAGTCTGAGAATCCTCACCATATATTTTGTCTCGATTTTCTGTCAAAAATTAACTGAAATGTCATTACTGTATGTTACCAAATTCTGCAGAAGGCATACACAATAGGCTGAACATATATGGTTGAGAAGCTTATTCAATCTGGTTAACTATGAGACCATAGCTCCTGCCATTTGCAAAATGCAATAGATGGTACTCTTTGCACAAAATACACAGATGCTAGCATGACTTCATGTCGAAGTTATGAATAATAAACACAATCCTAGTGAAAGGGAAGACGGGTATTTGTACATTTCCACTATGTTAATCAGAGACTGGAACAAACTCCTCATTCACATTACACAGGTCAGGACAAGGCAATTTGTGGTTATGTTTTATAGAGCTGATCATGAACAATTACAATAATTTATTAATCAAACACTCTCCTCCTGACCCTTAATCGAGTCACCACATCCAACATATTCTTGTTTAACTGTAAAAGTGCTGTTGTTTTTGTTTCAGACGCCCCATCTTAAAATGTCTGATTATGACAAGCTATAATGGGAGTCATATCTATCCTTAGCGTCAAGGTTGAAGATAGAATTTTGGTCCCAATTGGGACCCTAATATTTTCAGTCCTTGAGAATATTGCATGATTTGCAAGGGTTGTCAGATACAAAATGAAACATCCTTGACTCAGAACTGGATATCATGCCAAAGAATGTGTACAGACATCAAGAATATGGACGTTACTGAAACCATGAAACCTCTTACTCATACCACAATAAACATACACAAAATACTATAATTTGGTCCAGGTTCAAAGTTATAAGGATAGAAGCTACTGAACAACAAGGCATGTAATTTAAGGCTTTTTTTATCCCAAAGACACCTTCAGCAAAAACCATGATGACATATAAATGAAAGTTCTGTTCACAAAATGCATGCTCAAGTAAGAATGTTAAAGAGGCTTCCTTCTTACCGCAGAAGCTGGGTTGGCTTCTTGGATGGTTCTGTACATGCCAGCCATTTTGATTGGTAACATATATATGTTGTCCTTTATCATTTATATCATGTGTCCTGTGTCTTACAGAAAAATACTGCCCTGCAAAACATCACCTACAGCAGCGACATGCTTTATTCATGAAACAATTACATATTTTTATTGTATTACCTCAGTGTCATATCACACATTACTTGATTTCCTAGAAAATCTCAAGAAATTGTTCCAGAATACTGTTCAAAAGTATCAGTTTTACAAGTCAAAGGCGTTCTGTTCTCTCCCTTGACTGGTTTTCACTCCTGCCCGATCGACAGTTGTCTTCTTAAAAGAACAAAGGTTCAACAAAGGACATATTGATATCTGAGGGAAACAGAAACACTGACAAATCTAATCAACATGTACGCTCCTGTAAAATGGTCCGCAAGTGTAGAAGTTTAAACGTGAGCAAAAAAACTGCAAAATTATATTTGGTCCTGAATCAAAAAGTAAGACTTATCCCACAAATTTTATACTGCATGTCCAACATAATGACATGTTTCTGATATGAACCGTTGTAATCAAGGATAAGATCTGAAGACTATCAACATCGTCGTCGTGGTCCCTGATCATTATGACTATGCCACTATGTTCCATCTGGGTAGATAATTAACTAACATTCCCTTTTCACAAACGTCTTCATGTCAGTTCAAAGTTAACATGCGCGTGCAAGAGAATGGTGTCTTGCTGGTTCCCTGACCGGCTAGGGCGAATCGAGAGTCACCAGTCCAGCCTGCACTGTCTGCACATCTACAATTCCCTCCCATCACAGTGTCTCCTTCACACACGTGGAACTTAATATTCCAATCCATTGTTATCAAACTGGGGCTCCATTTCTGAGTTTGCTTCCACTTCCTCCACCTGTTGTTCTGGTTCTGGTTCTTGTTCCTCATTGCCAAAGTTTTCTTGCCTGATTTCTTCCAAGATTTCCTCTGGTACATATGTGTCATAAGAGAACTTTTCTATTGTTGAGTTTTTCACTTCAGGAAATGCAGTCACCTTCTTCTTATAATGAAAGATGATGTCCTGATCCCTTGGCATGGTAGCTATGAATGCAGGCTGCTGGTACGCATAAGCCAAGAACTTCCAAATTGCGATGAATTCCTTTGGGATATTGTAGTCAGCATATCTCTGCAATAAAATAAAATAAGAAATACAGCAGCTGATCAGAACGTAAGGGTGAATGAATGGGTGAGTAAGTTGGTTTTTACACCGCTTTTAGCAATATTCCAGCAATATCACGGCGAGGACACCAGACATGGGTTTCACACATTGTACCCATGTGGGGAATTGAACCTGGGTCTTCAGCGTGACAAGCTAACACTTTGATCACCAGGCTACCCCAACACCCTAATTATGAAGGAGGATTATATACTGATATTCTTTTCTCTTTTTTATACAAAAGTGGGCACTTAAATTTTACAACAAAAATAACCTAGAAATGTTCATGATCGCCTATTTATTCAACATATTTGCAAATATGAGAACCCGGTCCTTCGGCATGATGAGCAAACGCTTTAACCACTAGGCTACCCCACCGCCCCATAGGGTGAATGTAGATAATACACCTAAACCTGGAGTGTACAGTTTTACTCCACTTTTAGCAATATTCAAGGAAAATCATCCCTTAAGAAACAAGCAATAGTTTTCACACACTTCAGGAATCGAAGCCTGATCTTCGCAAACCAAACTTTTATGCTTAAGTACAAGTGTACATGCACCTAGTATATCTTGGAACAGCAATTCATTTATATTCCAGCTCCTCAGTCTAATGTGGGTGACAAGCCTTAAGATGAGCATCTCAACAAGCTCCTCAGTCTAATGTGGGTGACAAGCCTTAAGATGAGCATCTCAGACAAGCTCCTCAGTCTAATGTGGGTGACAAGCCTTAAGATGAGCATCTCAGACAAGCTCCTCAGTCTAATGTGGGTGACAAGCCATTCAGACAAGCTCCTCAGATGACAAGCCTTAAGCATCTCTCAGACAAGCTCCTCAGTCTAATGTGGGTGACAAGCCTTAAGATGAGCATCTCAGACAAGCTCCTCAGTTTAATGTGGGTGACAAGCCTTAAGATGAGCATCTCAGACAAGCTCCTCAGTTTAATGTGGGTGACAAGCCTTAAGATGAGCATCTCAGACAAGCTCCTCAGTTTAATGTGGGTGACAAGCCTTAAGATGAGCATCTCAGACAAGCTCCTCAGTTTAATGTGGGTGACAAACCTTAAGATGAGCATCTCAGACAAGCTCCTCAGTTTCAACTCAGACAATTCCAACCAATAGTCTGACTGCTATACACATTCTTATGGTATTTTAAACAAACTGAATACAATAAATCAAAGACCTTAATTTTAAAATTCTAATTTTTTTTTAAAAATTTATTAAGAAAGTTGTAATGTATGTCCTTTTAACATATTAAGGTATCAGGCAGGAACCCTGTGGTGACCAAACATGAGGAACCTAGGGGTGACATGGTACGTCTACACCACACATCGAGCTTTCTATGGAGTTAATGGCTCTACTCCTGACCATAGAAATGGTCTGTTGTTTGTCTAATTTTACCAGAATCCCTTGTTGGGACCAGCGTACCTTGGTAGCCACCTTGATATGCTGTAACCTAGGCAGTAAGTGGCAATCAACATAGCACAGCATGTCATCTATAAAGAACCTCTTGCCGTTGTCTAAGTCTTCATTTAAAGCTCTCAGGGCTTTTGTCAATTTGGACTCTGGCTGACCTGTCAGGAATCCATTGAAAGTCTGAAATTACAACAAAAGTAAACATAAACACATCGCATAACACAGCACAACATCAGTGTAGGAAACTACTGCACACCCGAAAGCCCAAGATGGGTTAATTCTGTGGATGGCTGGCAAAAAATAAATCTTACCAGCCCGACAGTCAGGCTCATATTTTATGTGTAATCATGAGAATCTTATCTATGAGACTACATTTGTAACAAAAACACTTCAGGTGTATTAGTCTAGATTTGTGTCAAGTTAATTCAATTTCGAGGAATTCGTGTCTGTAATGTAATGTGAATGTGACAGTTAACTTGTGGAAGATTTACAGTTACATATGACAGTGACACATTCTTGCTACAATGGCATAATATCGATAACTCTAGTTTTGAGACTATTGTTTACCTGTTTCAGAGCACTGTGATGAAACTGTTTCTTTTGTTGGGCATTTCAATAAATATGAAAGCAAAGATACTTAATAGGGTGTTTTTATTATTGCTGAGCGTAAATGTGAAATTAAAGCTGGTCTGGCAACTTTTGAGAAGGGCTAGTAAGTTTTCAGAGTTACCAGTCCTGGTGTCCGGTAGAAGTTTCTGTTTAGTTTCCTACACTGACAACATTTATCAATAAAAACCTGGAATTACTTTGCATGTTGAGAAAGGGTATGTCAGTTAGTTACCTTACAGTAACAGGAACTAAATATATATTTTCTGGCCCAAACTACATGGACAGCTATATCAATCAAATCAGTGTCAAATCACAATGTTATTCATACTGTGGTCTAAATTATGCATTATGTCATAAGCCTAATGCTGTTTATCCCTATAGATTCAAGGAACCCAAGATCCCCTTCTTCATACACTATTCATAGCTTCAGCATTGTCATGGAAACAAGATGACAAACAAAGCCCCAACAAATAACAAAGAACAAGATCACTGGATTGTCTGGTCCAGACTTGATTATTTACTGACTACGCCATATTGCTGGAATATTGCTGACTGTGAGGTTACACCAACCAATCAACGAACCAAAGAATAATTCAACTGTTACAGTCCTACAAGATTTGTGCTACATTTACAAACATATCACAATACCTACTGCTGTTGTAGAGTTTACTCACCATACTTCTACATCTCTGACTTGGAGAAAGTCAACTAGAAAGAAGTTTGAATGTAGATTTTAACAATAAGTAATTATTTGTAGCCATCAGCTTCTCTTTCTGAAAATCCTACAGTGCACATAGGCAAACACTTTTCTTATGATAACTCAGTAGTGAAAACATTGAACACATATGTTGAAACTGGTATAACACAAAGCAGATTCTGCAACCATGGTAACTGCAGCTATCGTAACCCTGAAGTTAAAAAATCAAAAAAATACTTAGAGTCCCCTTAAATATCCATAAGCCACAAACTATAAGAGCCCATGGCTTTTCTTTACAGCTGCCACTGCTTAGGATAATCTTTACTAGAATGGCTCTTTAACATGTCTAAATAGATTCCTATTGCCAATCAATACTTCACCATGCTTCTTACGGAAGCTCACTGAATGATAATGCATATAGTTAATTTCTTGAATCATGCAAATTTCCAAAGAAAGTATTGACTTCAATCTGATTCATAACATTACTTGAGCAAGTCGGACCCAACCCAACCACGTTTTCAAAATGTGTCTGTATCAATTATTTCAGAATAACTTGGCCAATAGTCGAGACTGGCTCTTGTTTCTTTGGCATAGTATTCAACAAAGAGAAGGGTAATGTTATGTATCAGTCTCTATTCATATACAATGTTACAGTGGGATGTAACAACTGCCTCAGTTCTAACACATTATCACATTATATACTCGAACACATTGTACAATGTTGATACTGGATCAATTGGTTGTACATATTGGCTGCATATTGTCAGCATCTACAATGGACTGCTCTTCATGGATTTCTAATGAAAATGTATTTTTCTTGCTTTTATTTACTATTTATATTATCTTATTTCCATACAATGTAGACACGGGTTACAATGATGTGGCCATTATTCAAAATAATATACAATGCCATTAACAATACAATGGTTCCTACCATATGAACCAGGCACTCATAAAGATATCTACAGGTGGGAATATATAGAAGTGTGCCAACAAGAAGATGTTTGATCCACAATCAAACCCAACGAAAGTCATAACTGAGTTTAACTTTGAAATTATGTCCCCTTACTTTTTGGCGAGACTGATAATAAATAATACACCTTATATTTTCTGAATGTCTAAATTTTGTCAGTAGCATTAATCAGGTTCATCATTTTCCATGTTTCATTTTAAAAGTGAGTGAGTATGGTTTTATGCTGCTTTTAGCAATATTCCAGCAATATCACGGCAGGGGACACCAGAAATGGGCTTCACACATTGTACCCTGTGGGTAATCAAACCTGGGTCTTCACCGTGACGAGCGAACGCTTTAACCACTAGGCTACTCCAGTGCCCCTCATTTTAAAAAATTGTCCCTGTGTAATATTTTTTTTTTTAACATTTCATGCTTTTTTTCATAGTACCAGTGCTATTTTAACTGGGCAGCAGAGAATGCAAGGAATTTAATCCCTTTGAAGAAGTATATGGCGGTTAATGACACGGTCAGACATGTCATGTCAAGAGCAACAACTGAGGGCGTTCTTCAAGAAAAGCTGGTCTGAACAGTTTCATTGTGTGACTTTACGATAGTGTGTGTATAAATCATTGTACAGAACTCTCAAAGAATGTGTGCCACCCAACATTACACAGTAGTGAGTGATCAGTGCTGCATTCCCAGAGAATATATGGTACCACTCCTGTTGGCTGGACCACTACATGTCAATGGATCAGTCAATGAGTGTGATGGTATGTCCTATTTAGGAGGGCCACAACTAGGGACACTAAGCATGTTTCACTGGCCATATCCCTCAACACTGGCATGTGTGAATGCTATATCGCTAAGCCATCCCATGGGCAAATTGGGCATACGTTTAGAGACACCAAAAATGACTATTTAATGACTGAGCGAGTGAGTGTGTGAACAAGCATGTTAGTGAGCGAGTAGCAATATTCCAGCAATATTATGGCAGGGACACCAGAAATGGGCTTCATACATTGTACCCATGTGGGGAATAGAACCTGGGCTTTGGTGTGGCAAGTGAACACTTTGATCACCAGGCTACCCCACCACCCTAATTATGAAAAAGGATTATATACTGAACAAGGGTAGGGGTCAGATGCAATTTTCATTTGGGGGAGAGAGAGAGAAGAGAAAGGAGAAGAGGAGAGAGGGAGAGGAGGAGAGAGAAAGACAAAATTGGGCGCTTAAATCTTTACAACAACCAAAATATCCCCAGAAATGTTCATGATCCCTTACTTACTAAACATATTTGCAAATAGCCACCAATAAAAAAATGTTTTAACTAAGTAGTTAGATATGGTTCAGAGTAAGAAATTCAGAACTACCCTTACAAGACATGATAAATCAAGGTCTAACCTATCAAGTCAAGTGCTAGCTGTCACAGTAAGCCTGCCCTCATACCTACTTCACTAGGCAAGGCTGTAAGTAGGTCAGACAGGATAACTTGTGCTTTGCTGATACCTCAGGCTCATAAAATGTAACCATTAGACAGGATTTACAGAGCCTGACAAGAGAACTGCCTTCTCTTATTGCATATACAGTCCCTCTCTATATCTTTATATTCACCTAAACTGGCCACATAATACAAGGTCGAAAATTCAGAGAAGAATCGTCCGGACACTTTTCTTGATTCTATCATCTCTGGACAAGACATCCTTCATCAAAGTTTGAAAAATTAGTTTTCAAGATAAGTCAGTCAGTGTGCTACAAAATGAACTTAAACCCTAAAGGGCATAAAAGCCAGGGCATTTTAAAGGGTGAAACTATACACCAGTGCATTATGAGTTTTCAAGCAAGTTGCGATACACAATATGTTTGTTCTGTTTTGATAAAAGATGACATACTTGCTAAAATACTTACGTCTCACATAGAATTAGTTGGCGACTACATTTGTGTACAAATTACGACTTTGAGACTTACCAATCATCATCCATCATTATAATAGTTACAATTCAAGCCAAATCTTAAAAACACAATTGTATAATGTATACTTGTATAATGGGCCTGTGGCCACCACACAGAAATAAACTCATTCTCACATTTAAAACACAATCCTCCATTTAACATAGCTGCTAAATTCAGTGCAGTGCTTGTCTTTAAAAAATGTTTTAAAAAAATAAAAATAATTTTCTTTTCATAATAAAACTTCCATGAACCTTTAACAATCATACTATGTACCTGTGACCTACATTAGAAACGTACTAGGTAATATAACTAAATATACACAATCACCCCATGCAATAACCTGATCCAAATGAACAGAGTATGTAGACAGCTGACAACACTACTGAACATTATGAATACATTTGTTCAATCTTGGGCTGCATTCAGGCAATAAAAGCGAACCTTGTAGCTACTAGAGCATGTGTTGACAAGTCAGCTGTATGCACTATGTAGTAACTTCCTTATAACTCATCTGTATCCAGTCATCAAGCATAGGGTGATTATTCAAATATGTTTCTGACAAAGTGACCTAGTTACATGAGGTTAGATAGATTTGCAAGGACTTTTATTTTCATGTTTTGTATATTTTAGGGTTGTATATATACCAAGAAAATAATAAAACGAAATGGTCTTTCAGCTGTCATTTCTAGTGTGGTCTGAGTGAGATGTGTTTGAAGTAAGAGCAACAACACTGCTGTCACGGACTGAAACTATACATTCAGCTATAGTATACAACCAATATAGACTTTGCACTTGAGGGTAAATATGTCAGTTATACCACACAACAGACATTTGTTGCTAACTGTGTGAAAACAAGCATGGGGACGGGAGTTCCCAATGACCTCATTCACCATTTGTCAGTCGACAATGCTAAACAAATTTCAGACTTTATATTTAACAGTTGATACCATACATAGTTAACATTTACCTTTTGATTAGTCAGTGGTAACAATTATTATCAAGGCCAGTACTGACATCCACGAACTAGTGGATTATAAGCAGCGTCAGAAATTGAACTTATGAATATGAATTTATTTTCTTGGACTTTCTGATAGCAAACAGCCTAAAAAGTCAGAACAGACATGGTATTTCTACAGACCTATCAGCTGGTACATTAACTCAACCCTCTCCATAACCTATGCCCAATCACAAACCAATATTCAGCCCCCGACTGCAGCTAGTGCCAGCAGAATATATAAATAAAGAACGATTTCCTAGTTCATGTTAAAATACTATAAACTAATGTTAATGACTTGTAGGGTTACTTACATGTCAACAGACAAATAAAATAGAGCCTTTAATGTTGGTAAGAGTTCCTCCCATTCCCCGATCCCAAATAATATTCATAAATTAATATATTCTAAAATTATTCACAAAACCTAACACAACAATTAAAAGATCTAAAAGCCCAAAAATTAATTACAATATATAGGGTCAAACCATGTTGTGTTACTTCTGTTAATGTTACAATAAAAATATGGGGAACGGAAGGAGCTCTTTCCCTATATTTCCCTCTCAAGAACACATACTTATGTATCTTAGGTAAGTTCATGACACATCATAACACAGTCTACCTGATCTCTGTAAACGTAATTTATCCCACAGATCCAACAAATCTTACATATCGACACTGAACAGCAAAGTTTACACTTCTTATCACACACACAATACAGCCACACTATACTTACAGCATAAAGGGTATCTACTCTGGCCATGGCATCTCCATTCTCCTTGTTATGCCTCTTCAACTCTGGGCACTCACGGTTGATATTCTCGAAGAAGGTCTCCAACTCCTCGAAGCTGTCATACATGCATCCACTAATATCTTGGCCCTTCTTGTCTGTGCAATTGACTGAGAGGACCACTGGGAACTTCTTGCTCCAACCCTCGAATTCTTTAGGAGGGCTATTTTCCTGCACGGTGAAAACTGAAAAGTTCACCCCAGGTTGTTTCTGGGCTATAAGGTACGCTATCATGAACCAGTGCTCACATATGGGGCAGGGCCCTCGGGTTTCTTTGTCAATTTGTGAAGCCTGAAGAAAAAAAGTTGGTCATATTAACATGAAGGCTGAGTGTGCAACATGTCTACAATTTAACACCCCCAAGTATACTGCAATGTTTCAGAAATGACAACAACAGAGGCCCAGATAAGCTGCGTATCCGGGTAAAATATGCATTGAAAAATAATTGTTGCGTACCAATTACGCATTTAAAATGTTAGATACGCAAAAAAGTTTAAAACAAATGCGTACGGAATTGATTGCTATCAAGTTGTACTGTTAGTATAGGACAAGTGTTGTAATGTCAGTATAGGATGAGTGATTTTTTATGAAATAATTTTCATCATATCTAAAATGGTTTTGATTAGGTATGACATAAGGCAGAACATACCTGCTTAGTAAACTTGCTCAATGACATAATACTTAGGTGAGTAAAGTGACTGAAATACGCACATATTTGAAAGCAGTGGGTAACGGAAAATGAAATACCCACTCAACATTCATAATACCCACTCCCAAAAAATACAGTGGGTACAGTACCCACATGAGCCAAATCTTATCTGGAGCTCTGACAACAAAGTCACATATTCATGCTATGGCATTTTTTAGTGATAGCACTGTTGTTGTTGTATCACAATCAACACAATGTCAAGGTGAATCATAACTGCACTTAATCACATTCTTCAAAATAATGTTTCTATAAGTTGCTTAGACGCTCAAGCTAAACACAGAATCTCCCCTGTGAGAAATGACTGCATGTTTTGTTTCTAGTGATATTCACATGTAGTTATGGATTTTATGCAACTAAACTATTAAAAGGATACGGTCTTGTGAGAGTCATTTCTGACAACGGCAGCAATATGCATTTAAATTCCACACCACTGCTAACGAGGGCCAGTACATGATATTTACTATAATTGTTTAATCGAGATAAGCTCCATGCGTGGCTGCACACACGCTGCACCTGTCAGTCATTCAACATGTTAGGACTGTGATGGCCCTGCATTATGCAACTTCATTTATTTCGCTTGCAGCATATTTGTAAAATGTTTTCTACGTGATCAATGACCCGTATCAACCCAGTTGCATAGCACAATTCTCAATTCTAGGTCAATGCGATCGGATGTGATAAAATGATTTTAACTTTGTATCTGTGATAGGATGATAGTTGACACTCAAAAATTATTTCTAATATACTATAAATAACGCTATCTGACACATTGTTCTAAACGAACATTTCACATTTTTCTCCACCAAAAGTAACGATCTCGTATTAAAACTGGTGACTCGAATAATACATGTTGTTCTCAATTATCAATAGTATACACAAACATTCCCCTGGTCACCTATCCAGACGAACTTGAAATTTTTATAACGAGAAACAGATTTTGCTGCCGAATGAATCACGCACTACTACACGCCCTGTCTCTTGTCGACTGGTGCAGTCTCAGACGGACGTTACAGCAAATCAATGTTTTTTGCATTTGACGAGGATACTGGTCTGCATCAACAAAAACCACCTGATTACTGTATTAACGGGTAAGATTATTCCCGAGGCGCTGAAAACATGCTCCGCGGGTTCAGTAGGCCCGGCTTTTGAAACGTGTGCTCACCAAGGCGCAATATACCGCCATGAATTTGTTCACCACCTTCGTTCCGCACAAGTCTTAATACATACCTTTATAAACAATTTAAACTCTTGTTTCACAACGGCCTTGCGATCGTCGTCGTCGACCGTAGTCGCGAAAAGAGGTTTATCCAAGCTCATTTTTGCGATTTGTGGCTAGAAATGCCTCCAAAGTCACACAATTTCTCTACAAGTCGTTGACGCACTGGCCTCGCCCAAAATAACAGCGCTACAACGCATGCGTCAATCCGAGAGGGTCACATGACACACGCCATCCTACGGTATGAGATCATAAGTCTGGGCACAAGCCTGTCATTATCAGAGTGCTGGGGCATGCGGATTAGTTTGTGAATCTGCTTCGGGACTTTCCGTTGGCCGCATTTATACTATTTATAAATAGCTGCCTAACTTACCCTGTCATTATGCTGTAATATGATACAATATTTTTGTATGTTCTCCACCCATGACAATCTGACGAATATGGCCCGTGGCTGAATTTTTTCGATATGTACACAATCCATTCTCGTGAGATAGTGTGTATTACATCAATGGGTATTGTAACGTTGGATAACAAATAATTTATTGGCATATGACTCTTGAATCTCATACTTTCGAATTTCATCTATTCAGACAAAGACCGTTATATTAAGTCGTGAATGGAAGTATTTGTTGTTACATGCAATACTATATTTGGCACGCACCTGAATAGCTTAACCTTATAATGTAAACATAGTGCATAATTGAAATCAAGAGGTGACATTCAGTTTTAAAGACTAGAGTCAGTATTTACTTGACTCGTGCAAACGCTTTGATTCCCCACATGGATACAATGTGTGAAGCTTATTTCTGTGTCCACCGCCGTGATATTGCTGCAATATTGCTAAAAGTGGCGTAAAACTAAATTCACTCTTGCAAACACCGGGACATAGGTTTCTGACACCAACCCATTAGAAATAACTTACATTTTGTTTTGTTTGTTTTTTCGTATTTTAAAAAGTAAGTAAAATTCAAGTATGTGTAAAATGTAGTTCAATCCTTTCAGTGCATGTATGTCGCAAATGTGTATTTTTTTAAAATAGTTGAAAAATCTAAATGAAGTGAGCCTCGCGTTGAAAAGAATTATGCTTTTATGGATAAGTGGTAATATTTTCTAGATGTTTCAACTGTTATTTCACGCAAATCTGTAAATTTAAATCTGACAGCAAATCAATTACGAGGTCTGTAATCTCTGCATAAATCTGTTCATTCATAATACAACGACTCCATGTATGGACATCTTGTTTCTTGTGTGATGATGCATCGTCAGGTAATGTGAACCCGGTTTGTTCAGTGTTAGTGTCATCGATTAGGGCGTTAAAGTATCTGTGGGCGATCGATTAGGATTGGTGCATAGATTTGTTCCCTATTCTACGACGAAAGCTCCTGATAACACCGCAATCAGTCAGATCAGGAGAAACGGCGCCAAGGCATGACAGTGGCAGTTTAGAGCAACGCTTATACTCATTAACACTGCATGGACTCTGTCTCCGTACTGCCATATATGTACAGTCGCTGTAAGGAGCTTTACCTCTGCGCAACTAGCTGTCGCGGTATTTTGTGTATTGTTGTGTATTGTATGTGTTGTGTATTGGTTATACAACAAACGGATAGGCTAAACATTAAGTGATGCAATGAAGATTATAGAGTTGAATGATCATAGAGGTCAACAAACCTACTACCATAAATAATTGGAAATGGCAAACTCTCAAAGGGGTCTTTGTCCTTCACGGCCTGATGCCCGCTTCAAGCGTAACCACATACTCAGTACATTGTAATATATGCAAATAGTGGAATCAGCTACGTATTTTTGTAACCAATGCAATAATTAACTGGTTGACGTGTTTACATAATAAGAGTCAGAAGATGAAAAGTAGTTTGGGAGCTTGAATCAAATCTGCTGGGGCTATCACATACCCGGAGCTCAGTACCCCTTTAAGAAATATGTGCTCTTCATCCATTTGACAATGTAGTGTATCGTTAATGACATTTATCTTTAACCGAAGTTTTAAGGTCCCACACACCCCGCCAGCTTCACCGCCCCTTCGTTTTCGGCGATGGGGTAGCCAACAAATGAATATTGTTCTAGTTCCCATTGTCTTGTTTGTTGTTTAACGCTGCACTCAACATTATTCCAGCTATATGGCGGCGGCCTGTAAATAATCCAGCGTGAACCAGACAACCCAGTGATCAACAGCATGAGCATCGATCAGCGCAACTGGGATACGATGACACGTGTATCAACCAAGTCAGCGAGTCTGACCATGCCACCGATCCCGTTAGTCGCCTCTTAGGACAAGCATGAGTTGCTGAAGATCAATTCTAACCCGATATCCATGGATTACGGCATTAGCCACGGTATAACGTCAGTTGATAGACGAACGAGCGTTAGCGTAAGTGAATGAATATAATTTTACGGTGTCCAGTTGTCAGTCTAGGGCTATTTGTGCTAATCATTACTAGCGAGATGGATAACCGAGATGGAAAATCTTGACAGCAGATTTAGAATGTCTCACTGCCACGGATTAAGTATCACTTAATAATATATTTAATATATTTCAGTTCAAACAGCATCCACCCATCCCAAACTTTGTATTCTTCCAAACAAGAAACACTCCTTGTTCGTTCGCTGAGTTTTGTTTCTAACGTGACCGGGTGGTCAGACTCGCTGACGTGGTTCATGCATGTCGCCATTTGCCATTTGCATATATGTTGCTCACGATGTCAATCATTGGGTGATCTGGTTCCAACTCGATCCTTAAAAACCGCTGTTATATGTCTGAAATATTGCTTAGTGCGGCGCTGAACAACTAACAAACACATATATAACGTCGTTTCAACTTAATTTGTCTATTTTCAGCGCAGAGCATAAGCGGTAAAACATCTGTATTGTAAAAAATTGTATTGGTATTCACACTGGCACCACATGCTTCTTGAAGATAAAACTTGCCACTCATTAGTTCCAATAATGAGAGAAAAAACTCTGCCTTTAGGTCACGATTTGAACTGTTATAAATGCAATTAATACTAATATTCAGAGCTTTCTTTGTGTGAACAATATTGATTAGACACTGAAAATGAGATCGTTCCATATGTAAGACGCGAGATACGCGTTCTCGCATATTATAAATCTGAGAATTCTTGGTAACACACACCTAATTCGCACATCGATATTGGTGTGGTGCCACTAATGCGCAGAAAACATGAGAAACTGTCTTGGATTGTCTTTGGGTCACCGTGACCAGGTCAAGCTGCCTTGACCGATATTTCATGGCGAGGACTGCTGCAGGCGATCTACGTCGGTTTGCTGAACTGCGAGATATCGATATTACCTAAACTTATGATCTACTTTTTCTGGCACATTTGATAATTAACTGTATTTACAGACATTTGAGAAATATAGTTTATATATAGTTCTTCCTGTCATATGTCGTATACAGTTGATGCATAGAGTTGCCAGCACACATGCACAGCTATTATATACGCCGATTAAAGATACATGAATACCTTTGTACTTTATATGATGAATGGTCCGCCGACAATTACATCTAAGAATATGGCTGTTAAGGACACCTTAAATGGGTTTTACATATTGTACATCATCGCCTTGTCTGCGTGTATTCTTGTATTGATTTGCTTGGTCATATTTTGTCATGGACTCTTAATCATGCAGATATTGTAAATATTTCTTAAAGCGACTCAAATCTTCCCGTTCACTTAAATCCTCCCTGGTTTAGTGGACAGAGCGTTCTCACACCACTTGGTCGTGCCAAAAGGTGGTTGGTTGGTTGTTGTTTAACGCCACAATCAGCAATATTCCAGCAATATGGCGGCGATCTGTAAAGAATCGAGTCTAGACCAGACAATCCAATGATCAACATCATGAGCATCGATCTACGCGATTGGGATAGAATGACACGCGTCAACCAAGTCAGCGAGCCTGACCACCTGATCCCATTAGTTGCCTCTTGCGAAAAGCATGGGTTACTGAAGACCAATTCTAACCCGGATCTTCACGGGTCGCGTCATACCAAAGACGTTAAAATATGGTATTTGTTGTTACCCTAGCTCTCGACATTAAGGGAAATGGCCCGGCCGAAATCGGTGGACTATGGCTGTGTGGCGTATTTGCAGCATGGCATCTCCGTTTTCTTGCACCTTTAAGCCAAAATTAATGCTGACTAATACACATACGCACATACGCACATACGTATCCGCGCGCTCGCAAAGACCTTGAGCATTACATCAATCCCTATTTTACATCACTTCAACATTTCATTATTGCAATTCTTCCAATTTGGAACAACATTTTTCTACTGACTATAAAAATTGCGCTAAGTAATAAAAACATTTGACCAAACACTTTAAATTCCACGACTTAAGTTTTAGCTATGTGAGCTACAGACTACGACTTAAGTTTTAGCTATGTGAGCTACAGACTACGACTTAAGTTTTAGCTAGGTGAGCTACAGACTACGACTTAAGTTTTAGCTAGGTGAGCTACAGACTACTTAACTATATGTTTTAAAACCAGAAAAGGTGCAGAATGGAGTGCGAGTTGTTACTGTTTGGACTCAAATTACGTGTTTTTTTTACCACAGTGTTAACCACCAGTCGTGACGTCAGGGGCGTAGCTACCATTATATAAAAAACCGAGCTTACACTTGATTGTTGCTGAAAAGGTTGGGAAAGCCCTCAATACTATCTAAACTAAAAGCTTTGCAACCTATTGGGCTTACACGAAAAAATTGGCTTGCTACGCGCCTGGACGTCCACAGTGGCTATGAGGTCTGAGGGACGAGACGAAGCAGTGTCCGTATCCCCGCACCGTCGTACGTGCAGCCGATGACGTCTCCTAAAATGCCCTCCTTATCCAACCGCCGTACACATGACTAATGTTTTGTTCAGGACGCTTGTGCAGCTCTTTATAACAAAACATTTATTTGGGCGATCTCCACACTGTCTGTCGCTCGGCCAGAAACGTGATACAATTTCGCGCTTTTTAAACTGAGTCCGGGAAGGCATTTTTATTGACTTCAATCCAGAGAGACAAAACGGCAATATCCATATTTGTTGAGGTTCATGAGATACGTTGTATCTCTGACTCTTCAAGCTGTCACTGTATGAAAAAAAATATCATAAATCCTGTTTTATTTTAGGAAAAAATAAATAAACTCAAATATTTTGTGTTAAAAGCTTGGAC